AAACTGGAAACTTCCCCACCCCCACCTCTCTCTGTCCCTCTACCCTTCTCCCTCTAGAACTCTGCCTGCCTCCAAGGACAGTCCATGTGGGCTGCCGACCTGGAGAGTGGTCAGCGCCCTGCAAGATTCTCACCACTCTTGGATCCACTATGATCATCCTGCTCCTTGGTCTACCTTTCTGCATCACTGGCCTGCAGCTTCTCCTTTCGAATCTGCAGAGAGACTTAAGGACTAGCATTGGACTTAGGGATTGAGTTGGACTGGGAAGACTTCTTGATATATAATTCTTTCTGGACATAAAGCTTTTTCTTATATAGAGATGAGTGTCACTGAATCTAACCCAGCATCTTTAAAACCACTGTTGTTGTTGTTGTTGTTGTTGTTGTTGTTGTTGTGCCATCAAGTTAGTTCCAACCCATAGCAACCCTATGCACAAGAATGAAACATTGCCCAGTCCTGCACCATTCTCAAAATTGTTCCTACACTTAAGCACACATTGTTGTAGCCACTGTGTGACTCCATCTTATTGAGAGCCCTCCTTTCTTTTCCTCCACTTTACCAAACATGATGTCCTTCTGCGGGGACTGGTCTCTCCTGACAACATTTCCAAAGCATGTAAGATGACGTCTTGCCACCCTTGCTTCTAAGGAACACTCTGGCAGTATTTCTTCCCAGACATTAAAACCAATAGGGGGAAATAACTAGCAAAAAGAGAGCTATTTTTAAAAAGAGAGAGAAAAGGCTATTTTCCTTAAAAAAAGTTTTCATACGTAGTCAGACATTGCCTGAACAGATGTTAAGCAACATATACCTATATGCAGCTGACTAATGCCTACTATATCAATCTTTGCACGTCTCATTTCATTTTTGATGACTTCCCATTTTCCTAGATTCATGTTTCATATATTCCAAGTTCTAATTATTAATAGATGTTTACAGATGTTTCTTCTCATTTCCAGTTATGCCTCATCCACAAATGAAAGTCTTAAAAGCTTTATTTCACTCACATCATGATGGCTGCCTCTACATTGAAAAGCCAGCTCTTCCTCAGCTATGTTCTCAGTGCCTCTCGACTAGAGGAACTCATCTTTTGGCTCTAGATCTGACAATAGTCCACTATTATTAAACGATATCATTCAATAGATAACAATATCAGTAATGTCACATGCAAGCACAATTTTGAGATCATTCAACAGCGGTTCCAGTAATACAGTGACCAGGAGCTGCCAAAAATCCAAGCCAAAGTCTGAAGAGAACATGGAACCAGGGATATCATTGCTGATGTCAGATGGCGCTTGGCTGAATGCTCAGAATCCTAGAAAGGTGTTTACTTGTGTTTTATTGACTATGTAAAGGCATTCAATGCTGTGGAGCATAACAAACTATGAATAACCCTGAGAAGAATGGAAATTCCAGAGCACTTCCTTGTGCTCCTAGGGAACCTGTACACGGATCAAGAGGCAGTTGTGTGAATGGAAGAAGGAAATACTTCATGGTTTAAAAATCTAGAAAAGCGTGTGTCAAGGTTGCATCCTCTCACCATCCTTATTGAATCTGTCTGCTGAACAAATCATCAGAGAAGCTGGATTATATGAAGAAGAGTGTGGTATCAGGATTGGAGGAAGACCACCTACCATAAGCAGAGGACACAACCTTGCTTGCTGAAAATGAGAGGGATTTGAAGCACTTGCTGATGAAGATCAAGAATTTAAGCTGTCAATATGGACTACAATGCAATGCCAAGAAAATTAAAATCCTCACAGATAGACCAATAGGTCACATCATGATGAATGCAGAAAAGATTGAAATTGTCAGCGATTCCATCTTGCTCATTGAAGCAACCATCAAAAGATCAAAATATGAGTTACAATGGGTAAATCTGCTACATTAGACCTCCTGTAAGTGTCAAAGAGCAGGGAGGCCACTTTGAGGACTAAGGTGGGCCTGACCCAAGCCATGGTATTTTTAATTGCCTCACTTGCATCTGAAAGTTGAGCATTGGATAAGGAAGACCAAAGAAGAATTGACGCATTTGAATGATGGTGCTGATGAAGACTATTGGAAGTACCATGGACTGCAAAACAAACAACTCTGTCTTGGGAAAAGTGCAGCCAGGATGTCCTTAAAAGAGTGGATAGTTAGACTTAATCTCATGGACATTGAACACGTTATCAGGAGAGAACCAGGCCTTGGCAAAGGACATCATATTTGGTAAAGTAGAATGGCAACAAAAAAATAGGAAGACCTTAATAAGGTGGAGGGAGGGGGAAAACTGAGGAGCTGATACCAAGGGCTCAAGTAGAGAGAAAATGTTTCGAAAATGATGATGGCAACAAATGCACAAATGCGCTTGACACATGGATGGATGGATGAATTGTGATGAGTTGTATGAGCCCCCAATAAAATGACTTTTTTAAAAAGAGCTGTAAGAGCCCCCAATAAAATGATCTTTTAATAAAGTTTAGAAAAATGAGGACCTAATGTTGGGGGCTTAAGTGGAGAGGAAATGTTTTGAGAATGATGAGGGCAATGAATGTACAAATGCGCTTTACACAATTGATGTATGTATAGATTGTGATAAGAGTTGTATGAGCCCCTAATAAAACGTTTAAAAATAATAATAATAAAATAAAGTAAAATTTTAAAAAGAGATGGGTCACAAAAGCAGAATAAGATAGTAGGTGCATAAGCAGAAGACTGAAGGAAAGTTGACAAGGCAGCCCGCTGAGCCCCCCTGACCAGTTATGGTGGTCAAGTGGTTCTAGAAATAAAGTATCCCAGGACCAGAAACTGGAGAAGTCATTCTATAACTTTGCACACACACACACACTAAATGGAACCCGGGTGGCATAGTGGTTACTCATTGGTCTGTTAGATGCAAGGTCAGCAGTTCAAGACCACCAGCAAGCGCCACGCACACAGGCGCACAGCAAGAGCTGTTTTCCTCTTCTTCACCTGACTCCCACAGCACCCTCAAGTTCATCTCATTACGCATATATGACCATACATAGTGAACTTCATTTCACTATGCATTACCCATAATACTTTCAGTTTTTAAGGACAAAAGTAAGCATTATGTTCATCTTTGGATCTAAGCAGCTAGCAGTGGAATAAATAAGGTTCTCAATAATGTTGAATTCATGAATAGACAAAACAAAAGCATGCACGAGGTTGTTTGCTTGCAATACTCAGAGCTCTGGACCTACCTGGCCCCCTATGAACACACACCCCCACCCTACCCCTAAGTAGAGCTCCCTGAGCCTCCCTCCCCCACATTCTCTGTGGCTCAACCCGTTCTTGCCGCCCTATTTCTTCCCCACCCTGCAGAACATGCCTGGAGACTGGCACCACCAGCCTTGCCTTCTCTTGCTTCATCCATCACAGACCATTCGTTGACTGGTGCTGCCCTGAACACGGCTTCTCCTTTTCATCTCTCCATCGGGGGAAACTAGACTCTTGACAGTGACTGTCATCAAATGAAGCTGTGAGATACAGATTAGAGATTGCAGCTCTTTGGGATGTTGTGTCTTGGATTTAAAAAGCAAGACAGGATGCCCTTAGAAGAGAGGACGACAGCAAGACATTGGCTTACATACTTTGGTCGTGTTATTGGAAGGGACCAGTCCCTGGAGAAGGGCATCATGCTTGGCAAAGTAGAGGGGCGGTGAAGGAGAGGAAGGCCCTCGATAAGGTGGCTGCAACAGTGGGTTCAAACATAAGAACAATGGTGAGGGTTGCGCAGAGCAGGGCAGTGTTTCAGTCTGTTGTACATTGGATCACAATGAGTTAGAAATGATCCAACGGCAATGTGTTTCAGTTTATATATGCATTTATGCATATATATATATATATATCCACACATGTATGAAACTTTCACCATTATTAAGATAATACCATTATCCATTATCCAAATGTTTTCTCATGCCGTTGTTCAATCCCTCCCTCTACTTGTAAATACTATACTTTCTCCTTTTGAAAATCAGGTGGACATATAGAATCTATTTCTGGACTCCTTTTGTTCTATTGATTGATGAGCTAAGTAAAGTTGTAGGACACAAAGTGAACATGTAAACTCAATTTCATTACAATTGCCTCATGCCTACCTTTATGCCAACACCACACAGCCTTGCTGACTGACTAGCTTTAGAGCAGTGGTCCTCAGCCTTCCTAAGGCCGCAACCCTTAAATACAGTTCATGTTGTGATGAACCCAACCATAAAATTATTTTCGTTGCTACTTCATCACTGTCATTTTGCTATTGTTATGAATTGGACGACCCCTGTGAAAGGGTCATTCAACCCCACAAAGGGGTCACGACCCACAGGTTGAGAACTGCTGCTTTAGAGTAAACCTTGAAATCAGGTCCTTCAAATATAATTTTTAAATGGTGTTTTAGATATTCTAGTTCCTTTACCTTTGTATATAAATTTTAGAATCAGCTTGTCAAAATTAGCTTTGTCACAAAAATCTGCTGGGACTTGCATTGGAATTACATTGACTCTATAGATCAATTTGGAGAAATTTTACATTTGCACAAAATTGAGCCTTCTAATCCACGAACCCATGTAGAGCTCTATTTATTTTGTTCTTCCTTAAATTTTCTTTGCAATGTTTTGTAGTTTTCAACACATAGGTTCTTAATATCTTTTGCCAAATGTATGTTTAAGTGTATCATCATTTTAATGCTGTTGTAAATGATATTTTGTTTTTTATTCTAATTTCTGGTGTAAGTAGAAATGCAATTGATTTTTGTATATTAATCTTGTGTCACGCAGCCTTGCTTAACTCACTTATTCTGGTAGTTTCTCTCTCTCTCCTCTCTCTTTTTGAGGATTCCAGCAGATATCTACTTCGTTAATAATGCTGAGTGGGAATAACGAATGGGTGCTCCTGGTTTTTCTGATCTGAATATTTCTGACCTTCCCCTTCTTTTGTGTTCTGTCCACACTGCAGTTGCTGGATTCTCCCATGTAAAGTTGAATACAAGAAAGTAGACATCCATACTCACTTCGGCAGCACATAGACTAAAATTGGAACGATACAGAGATTAGCATGGCCCCTGCGCAAGAATGATATGCAAATTCGTGAAGCGGTCCATATTTTAAAAAAAAAAAGAAAGAAAGCAGACATTCGTGACTTGTTATTGGCATTAGGGAAAGACCCATCTTTCATTATTAAGTATGTTAGCTGTTATTTTTGATAGCTGCCCACTATTAGGTTTAGGAAGTTTCCATCTAGGTCTCTAGGTTTTTGTTTGTTTTCATCTGGATGTTGAATTTTTCTCTTTGTTACATGTGAGAGGGTATATTTGTTTGCTTATTCAGAGATGAGGGAAAAGAATACTGGAGTTTTTTCTCAGGTGCTTTGTCTATACTTCTTGAAATGATCATATGGTTTTCCCTTTTTGAATCTATTGATATCGCAGGCCAGTGAAAAAAGGGACAACCGTCAGCAAGCTGGACTGACACCATGCCTGCTTCAATGGCCTGGGCATAAGAACACTGTGAGGTTGGCACTGGCCTGAGCGTGCTTTGTCCTTTTGTACATAGGGTCGTTATGAGTCAGGATGAACTTCCACGGCACCAAAAACAACAACAACAACATGTTCTTGAGGGATAGTCTGCCTCAACTCTCTATCTGCCTACCAGATTTCTAATCTCAACTCGAAACTCGTGGCCATTGGGTCGGTTCCATCTCATAATGACCCTACAGGACAGGAAAGGACCACCCATATGGGTATCGGAGACTCCTGCAGAGTTGTATTAGGGGCATTTAAATGTAAGAATGGATATCGAGTGCCCAATGTTTTTATTTTGTCACATAAAAATAGAAATAAAACAGCTATCACTCTCATAATTTTTCAAAATGAAGGGATATTTTACCACCCAAAATAGAAAGGATGTAATATTAGAATAAGGACAGTTCCTAAGACAGTTCCTGCCGGAAACTTGTGTGTATGTGTGTGTATATTAAAATCATTTTGGACTGTTGAAAATGTTTTATGTTTATAATCTCATTACATGTGGCTTTGAGCCAAGTTTGCCAACTTAGGTTGCTTTTATTCAAACTGTCTACTTCCGAAAGATCAGTCACTGAAAACCATTGAAGACAACGATGATCTTGCTTTTTAAATCCAAGACACAACACCACAAAGAGAAGCAATCTCCGGTCTCTCAAGGGCCTTCCTTTTGTTTGTTTTTTCGGTGCCCCTCTACTTTACCAAGCATGATGTCCTTCCAGAGTCTGATCTCTCCTGACAACAGGTCCAAAGCACATGGGGAAAAGTCTCTCCGTCCTTTCCTCTAAGGAGCATTCTGGCTGTACTTCTTCCAAAATAGATTTGCTTGTTCTTTTTGGATGTCCACGGTACTTTCAATAGCCTTGGCCAGCACCATATTTCAAGCTCACGGAGTCTTTGTTGATCTTCCTTATTCGATGTCCACCTTCCACATGCACAGGAGGCAATTGAAAATCCCATGGCTTGGGTCAGGCGCATCTTTGTCCTCCAAGTCATACATATTCTTGCTTGCTAACACTCTCAAGAGGTCTCATGTGACAGGTTTACCCAATGTAATGTGTGGCTTGGTCTCTTGATTGCTGTGTCCATGCACACTGATTGTGGATCCAAGCAAAATAAAGTCCTTGACAACTTCTTTTTCTATTTATTGACTTTTTTCCTATTGTAAATCATTTTATTGGAGGCTCATAGAACTCTTATCACAATCCATCCATCCATCCATTGTGTCAAGCACATGTGTACATTTGTTGCCATCATCATTCATTTTACTTTATTTTTTTCTTCTTCTTCTTTTATCAAGTTGTTACCTATTAGTCCAGTTGTGGGGATCTGAGTTTTCTTACATTAAATTGTAATCCACACTGAAGGCTTCAATCCTTGACTTCCTCTCCTCTAACTATATTTCTCCCACTTGACTTGAACCGCCTATTCCCGTAGTCATGCGCTCTCACTGTGATTACTATAATCTCATGCGCAAGGACCTCATTTTCTGTCGGTGATTTCAGCTCCTCCCCTAGAGCACTTCAACTCCAATAATTCCTTATCCCTAATCCATTGACTTTCCTTCCTCTTCATTGTTCCCTACCAACCCCATCTCCTCACTTCCCTCCTTACCTACATTAGATCCTAGAGTTGCTGGGACAAAGTGCCACACACTGGGTGGTTTATTAGAAAAAATGTATTGCTTCACAGTTCTGGAGGTTGGAAGCCCAAAGGATCATGCCAACCAGTCTATGCATCCTCTTCAGCCTCTAGGGCAGAGGAGGGGAATGGCCAGCTTTGGGCCATATAGAGTCAGAGAGATCATCAATACCAACTCACATCACATACCTCACCAAAGAGACGCCATTCCAGCCATCACATTAGGGGTGAGTTAATTAAATGTTTGACAAAATACAGCGATTGACATTTTTTAAAGTTGATAATTTTGTAGGGCCCATGAATGATGCTATAAATATCCAAAGATCCTTGGCAGAAAGTTCCCCACTCCAGCTGTAGAGGAAAATCCTACCTTGACTCTTCCAGCTTCTGGTAGGTGCCCTTTGGTTGTACACCTAGCTTCACTGGCCTGTCCTTCCTCTGTCCATTCTTCCGTGTCTCTTTTCTGCTCTTATAAAGACTACTCTTATTGGATTCAGGCCCATGTTAACTAATAACATCTTAAAAGGCCTTGTTTCCAAAAAGAGATCACATTCACAAGTAATAGCGCTTAGGATTTCAACATATCTTCTTGCCCCAGGAGATGCAATTCAATCCATAACAATCTGCTTATTGAAAAACCAAATTAAGATAGCTGATACCCAGAGTGACCCCTAGAGAACGAACATATAAGATAGGAACAGGAACCACATCGCTCACTAATCAGATGGTCACCAAGACTCTATAGTTGAAGGTAAGTTAACTTGTGACTGAGAAGTTTAAGCTCTCAAAGCCCCTTGAACCTTCCAGACTAGAAGGAGCATCTCTTGTCCCTAACAAGAGGCAAGTAGCCTCCCTGCTTAGAGAACCTGCAAAAGCCATACCTGAGGTGGATGCCTTCCAAAATGATATTGCTCTCCTGAAGACCTACCTCTGCCTCCATCATTGCTTCCAAACTAGAACTGAGATAGCTTTCAATGTAGCCCAAGTAGAGAAACACAGTCCCTATCCAGAAGGAAGCCTGGTATTCTCATGAAGAACTTGGGAACTTGGTTAATGTGGGTCAGCATACCATAAAGATGTGTGCTTGTGTTTCATTGATTATGCAAAGACACTCAACTGTGTGGACCACAGTAAACTGTGGATGACCTTGAGAAGAATAGGAAACCCGGAACACTTCCTTGTGCTCATTTGTGTGAACAGAACAAGGGAATATTGGATGGTTTAAAATCAGGAAAGGTGTGCATCAGGGTTGTATCCTCTCACCATACTTGTTCAATCTGTGTGCTGATCAAATCATCAGAGAAGCTGCATCATATGAAGAAGAGTGTGGCATCAGGATGGGAGGAAGGCTTATTAACAACCTGCGATATGCAGATGATACAAACTTGCTCACTGAAAGTGAGGAGGAATTGAAGCACTTGCTGATAAAAATCAAGGACTGTAGCCTTGTGTTCGCCTGGGTTGACTAGAGAAACAAATTCATATGTGTGTAAGAGAGAACTTTATATCAAAGAGCAATTGTACATTAAAAAAACACCCCAGCCCAGTCCAGATCAAGTCTCTAATCCAATATTACCCCATATGTCAATACTAGTCCATAAATTCCTCTTTAGACTCACTCAGTCAGGCAATGATGCCAAATTCAGGAAGATCACAGGCCGTTGGGTGGAAAGTACTGTGGATCCAGTGGTTGTGGAAGCATCTCAGCGCTGGTGTGGGTCTCCACATGGTTCCTCCAGCTCCAGGGCCCTGGCTGCCATCCGCATAGCTCCATGTGGCTTGTCAACAGATAGGTCTGGCAGAGAGAATATCTGGTCTCCGGTGAGCTATTTCTTTCCTTCACGCCTCCAAATGAGGTCATCAAGCTGCAACCTGATTGACAGGCTAGACTCCACCCCTTTGCAAGTTGACAGGAGATTATGTGACTGCCACAAGCCTTCAGTATGGATTACAGCTCAAAGTAAGGAAGACCAAAATCCACACAACTGAACCAATAGGGAACATCCTGATAAACGGTGAAAAGGTTGAAGTTGTCAAGGATTTTGTCTTACTTGGACCCACAATCGATGCTCATGGAAGCAGCAGTCAAAGATGTGTTGCATGAGGTAAATCTGCTGCACAAGAACTCTTTCCAGTATTGAAGAACAGGGATGTTACTTTGAAGACTAAGGTGTGTCTGACCCAAGTCATGGTATTCTCCATTGCCTCATGCATGTGAAAGTTGAACATTGAATAAGGAAGACCATAGAAGAATCCAAGCATTTGAATTGTGGTGCTAGAGAAGAATATTGAAAGTACCATGGAGTGATATAAGGACAAACCCATCTGTATTGGAAGAACTGATGCCAGACTGCTCCTTACAGGCAAGGATGGCAAGACTTCTTATGTACTTTATACATATTGTCAGGAGAGACCAGTTCCTGGAGATGGACATCATGTTTGATAAAGTGGAAAGACGAAGACAAAGAGAAAGGGCCTCAACCAGATGGACTGACACAGGGCTCAGGCACAGGAACAATTGCGGGATGGAGCTAGACTGCGTAACCACAAGGAACTAGGGGAACACACGTGAGAACAATGATGGGCATGCCAGACAGAGTAGGAGGCGGGGAGCAAGGTACAAGGGAGAGTGAGGAGATCCTCCTAGAGCTGGCACCAGTGTTTCTGATGGACTGTCCTTGACGTTTGGACAGGATGGTGGCCGTGGTGTTAGGAGCTGTCAGGTTGGTTGCAACTCAGAGGGACTCTGTGAATCATGGAATGAAACACTGCCCAGTCCTACGCCATCTTCACCATCGCTTTAATGCTTGAGCCCATTATTGTAGCCCTTGTGTCAATCCATCTCCTTGAGCTCCCTCTATTTCACTTCCCCTCTACTTTGCCAAGCAGGATGTCCTTCTCCGGGGAGTGGTCTCTCTTGACAAGATGTCCGAAGCATGTGAGGC